GGATACTGGTGAAGAGAGACACTCAAGGTTCGTAAGGGGTTAAACAGGATAGATTTAATAAAGGGCTTGCACTCCAGACTGCACGGGGAGCCTTGGGAAAGCACCCCGTGCAGCGGGGTCACCGATGGGAGGCTGCTGGCAGCCCAGGTTAGGTGCATGGGTTGGACACCCAGGCAGGACTCGACTCATTGTATCCTAAGGGCCCCTTAAACCTACTGGAACTGTTCCCTTATCTCAGCTGTACTAACCTTGAGTAGCTACTGTCCAGGAAGCAGCTAGACATTGTTGACAGAATGGGATATTCATGCATGGCCCTGATGGGAATTTGATCAATGTGTAGTTTCACGTACTGGGCCTGCTACCACATACTCTGCCATTCACTGACTCCTCACCAGATCTTCTGCAGGTGTTTTCACCACAGCTCTGAACTGATGAAGAGCTTTCTGCAGTTCCTTCATGCTCCCCTCTCTGTTCTATGGAGTATGTGCTTTTATTGCTGTACTTGTGTGTTTATATAAACTCTCATATCTAGAAATAGCTTAAAGGACAATCTGCATGATATTCTGCAATTTTAGGAATTTGTTCTGCAACCTAGAGCCTGGATATTTTAGGAAATTTGAAATGTAGAGTTGTGCCAGTAGTTTAAGTGTTGTGTTTTGGACACTTTCTAACTGGAGTTGCTGGTCTGCCACGGGTCTGTGCTTTGCTGTTGTGGCAATACTGCTGTGCCAGTTTCCACTAGCGCTGAAGTGCTGCTGATAGCTGCTCCAGTAGATGGGTAGTACCAGTTCTCGCCATCCTGTTCTCCACCAGTAGGAGTGCTTCAATGAGATGTGGTGATCTCTGATAGGAGACCCCTTCCTTTGTGCTGTATGACTAAGTTTGTGGTGGCCTTCAACTGCTTTACTATTCTCCATTCCTTGTGTTGAAGTTACAGGAAGTTTCTTCTCGAGCACTATGTGACAATCAGCTTTCGAAGGGCTGGATCCCAGATGTTTGCACAGAGCAAACAACTCCAGAAGACTATTTCAGAAAAAGCAACCTAGAGTTATAGCAGCTTGAGAGAAAGAACAGGTCATCAGTGTAAAAACTTGTATCCTCTTAGGGCCAAGATTCTCCCTCAGTTCAGATCTAAATGGCAACACAAAAGAGGAAAAATGAGAGAAAGATTCAGACACATCTCTCAGGAGCCTGATCTTTTCTTTTACTGTTTTCTTTCCATTCCATTGTAGTTAGTTTGTAAAATCTAGGAATTAGAGGAAGAATGCCAAAGCTCTTTGAGAAAGAAACTACTTTCCTTCATCACTGCCTGCAGAGAAGCAATAATTCTGTGACTGTATTAAGTCAAAACAAATATTCCAGATACCCCTACTTGCTAGTTCCTACCTCTGCTTTGTGCCTGCGTAAGCATTTGTGTGGCCACTTGATGAACCAAGTTTGAGAAATTACCTGGTAAAAACAAAAACGGGGTGGGCAGGGGAGGATAAAGAAGGGTGTTAGTTTTAATCCATATCAGTTCCTCAGTCAAGTTCACTGTGTAACTACACAAGCACTTCTACCAGCACAAAGGAGGGAATGGCAGTGGCCTAAAAGCAAGTTTTTGACAGATGAGGAGAGAGAGGCAGGACTGTAATGTCTGTCTGTGTTGGCCCATACAGATAATGAAACCATGGTGTCTGATTCCAAGCAGAAGTAGGAAGGTGAGTTCCAGTAAATATTGATCTTAATTGTTATCATCACTTTTAAATATTAGGTTTCTGAAAAAGCAAGAGATTGGAGAAGGCAAGAAACCCAAACTTGGTTCTAATACTTATACCCCTTACTCCAATCTGACAAAACTTCATCTTTCGAAAGGGAGCCTCTGTCCTCTTCTGTCTGATTATAGCGATAGCTTCATTAAGAGTATGAGTAACCAAGCAAAGGAGACCGTGAAGGCCAGTGCAGAACATCTACCTTAGTCTGGTCTCTGTGTTCAAACATAAATTGGAGATCTTTCCTGGAAAGTGCTCAGCTGTTTTAAGAAACTGACAAACTTGATTTGGTCTTTGGCATCACTAAGACATAGCTCCAACCATTCCAGAGACTTCAGAAGCCCTGTATATGTTCCTTGAACTGTTCTGCTTGGATTCTCTTTTGAAAGTTTTATATTTTTGGTGGAGGCCTTCATATTGCATACCCCTTTAATTCCTTTGCAGAACTGTAGAGAAGAACTGCTGTTATAAGAGAAGTTTTGCAGGCCAAAGAACAAAAAGAAGGATCACAGGGTATGTACAAGTTGCTGAGGGATAAGCTAAGGTTGTGCTTTTGTAGCCTCTTGGGTACTCTGTAGCCATTGCATATGTCTTTACTTCATGGTAAATGAAGTTTAGTTTATTCCACCTGCATCAAGGAGTAAACTAGTCTCTCTTGTAGAGTAAGAACATACCTTCTTTGCCACTGAGTAGCAGAAGGTTCTGAAATTCATACTTCTAGGTTACCTCATGGTACCTTGTTCCTATGCACCTATCTTTAACTGAACAGTGAGTCCTTTGAAAGTATTCTCAGTGAAGTTATTTGGAAAGAAAGCAGATAAGTAGTACTTTAAACTGAAGAAAGATCCACTTGATCCTTCCAATTTCACCTTGTTCTTCTCAACTCCATCTACACCAATACATTTGCAGAATATATATGTTGGATCAAGAGCTATTGCAGGACTAATTCTACATTGCTTTCAATGGTGGCTTTGAAATGAACAAACAGGAGCTTTGCCTCCTGTGTCTGTATTTTCTCTTGCTCAGAGAAGGCGATTCATAAAAATATTGCTGTTAATTAGGGACTTGCACCTATTATAATTAAGGCATCATGGCACAGTTCTAGAAGATACTTACAAAATGTTTGGGTGGAGGGGGGAGGGAGGGAAACAGTTAAGCTTTCTTCTGAGTTTGTTATTCTATAATATTTACTGACTAGTACAATTTTTAATTTTGATGAATAATTTTATACATACACTTCTGAGGAGTTCTTACTGCTTTTTGGAGGGCTGATGAATGAACTTCCCCAATGCTGTGCTCGGAATAAGAAGTAAATATATATATCAGAGGGCTGGGAAAAAGCAAGTATAGTGGTAGGCTTTGAGCATGGTTGAGAGATACTGGTAGTTACAGTACCTTAACTAGCTTTTGGTTGTGAAGTTATGAGAGAAATATCGAGAAGACTACCTAATTTTGCTGAGACTTGTAGGTTGTTAGTAAATCCATTATACAAATAAAAACTTTGAACTTTGTGTTGCAGAACTGAAAGATTTTTAGTACCGTAGTAATTCTCATAAATCTGTGATAGCCTTGGGAGGTAAACATGAAATGCAATAAAAACCTCATTAATAATATGGCCCAAAACCCAGTCAGTTCATTTTTTTTAAATGTAAAATATATTTTGATAATGTTTTCAGTGGGCTGCTCAATTGATTTCTGGTTCAGTTCGTGTGTCCCTGAGCTAGGCTTTTAGATTGTATTCAAATGTACACGAAGAATATTGTAGTAGGTAACCTTACTTTTTCAGATGAAAATATTGTCTCAATTTCATGAGTTCAATAAAGTATGAAAGGTGGCATTGGACAGGACAATTTTACAGTGCCAACTGAACTCTGGATGTCTATTAAGCATAGTTATTGACAAATAGTAATGCTGCAATAAAATATGAGTTGTGCTAATATTTTATTTGATAAAATGAGCTGAGAAAATAGCTGCAGTAGAGGGGCATGGGCATCAGATAAGAAATGGGAAGGAAGAGAAGATAGACAAGATAAATGAAATAGAACAGAGTAAGTCAAGGAAACTTGATATCAACTACAAAAAGCACTTTTGCTATTGCAAACTGCAGTATGGTGTTTTATATCCCCACAGAAAAGGTGATGGGGATCACCATCATTTGGGACTGGACTGCAGAGATCATTCTTGCCCTAGGTCCCATGCAGGGTTGGGAAGGTGAAGTGCATTATATCCAATTGGACCTCTCTTAATATTACCTTTTCTTGAGATATTCCGTTTATCAGACAGCTAAAATTCAGAAAGATGGGTTGCGTGTTTTTCTTCAATCCTCTTTAATTGTAAAGAATGGCCTGTTAAGCCTGCTTTCCCGAGCACTGTAGGAACCTTAGAGATTTGCCTAGACAGTACTTCTGCCTCAAACCATCTCAGGAGTAACTTCTTGCCAGTGGTATGCTTCTTGCCTTGTCTCCAGATATTTCTTGTCATCCTCTTGCACTTTTCCTGTGTTTTTTCAGGTCTCTTTGCTGTTGTCTGTATTCACAAACAGTTCAACAAAACCACACTAAGTTCCTTTTTGTTTTGTGTTCACAGTCACACCTGAGAGGAAATGCCTTATTCTTCCTCTGTCTTTGTATATGGTCCATGTTTTGAGTTAGATGTCTCTAACCTTTTTGCTTTAAGTATGGTTTTGCTTTTTGTTACGTGCATATCCTCTGGAGAGCAGCGGCTACTTCCACCTTAAGTGAAGTATCAGCCAGTACTGAGGGTAGCTTGACATGTGCTGTTTATTTCTTGTCTTTCCATTAGCACCTCATACCTAATGCAGCTTGTGACCATAAATAAACTGAATTTCATAGCTATGCTTAGAGCCAGGCCTCTGTAGATTTGTTTCCCCAAGTATGTTCATGAGAGATACTCATTCTGATATCTGTGCTGGGTGAGAATGCACCAGTGTGGAGTTAGGCGTGGTTGAGCATGTGTATTAGTATGAGCAATTCAAAAAAGGCAAAGCAGAAGTAAATATCAGCTTCTGTTTGTTTGTTTGTTTTTTAACTCATGAAGGGAAAGA